TATTAATTAAATGTTTAAATACGCACATTGATCCCATCGAGTATGTATTAATTTAATATGGTGCAAACAACGAATGTTACAAAAAGTATTTAAAAATAATGGGTTAAGTGACTCGTTTTATTTCCATAAAATTTTTCGGAACTACATCAATGAGTACAAATGAGAAACTAACATATAAGAGTGTCATTAGCGGAGAAGAGGTGGCATCCTTGTAGTTCAGGAAAGTATTTAATTTGGCAACAATTTTTACAAACACCATCAGTCCTCTCATTGTGAGGTGGGCAAATTATATAGGCAGCTTGAGGGTCGCATTCATCTATGCAATAAACATGATCGGCTTTAACCTCAACCTCGTTCTCCAGTATCAAAATACCTGTTATGTAAAATTCACACGTTCAACCGACCAACTCATCAAATGTTTTTGTTGAGAATGCAAAATTCCAAGAGATTTAATGTTTTAGTACATAAACATATTTTTGTACTTCATCGTCCCTATTTGATTTTCTCAATTTCTGTTTACAAAGTGTTTTTAAGAAAGTCTATGACGTGAAATTGAATTGTGTCTTTAGATGTCCTTTAGTGCAAAGAAGATAGAATTGATGGGAACCAAATAATTTATATTTTAAAATGAAATGTAAAAATTAATTAATTAATTAGGGACATGTAAAAGTAAAATATTAAAAAATGAGAGAGAGAGAGGTATTAGCAACATGTAAGCTTTTAGATCTTAGTCATCCATNTTTTGTACTTCATCGTCCCTATTTGATTTTCTCAATTTCTGTTTACAAAGTGTTTTTAAGAAAGTCTATGACGTGAAATTGAATTGTGTCTTTAGATGTCCTTTAGTGCAAAGAAGATAGAATTGATGGGAACCAAATAATTTATATTTTAAAATGAAATGTAAAAATTAATTAATTAATTAGGGACATGTAAAAGTAAAATATTAAAAAATGAGAGAGAGAGAGGTATTAGCAACATGTAAGCTTTTAGATCTTAGTCATCCATATTGAAAATTTACGATAAATTTATGATATTTTGTTTGAAATAATTTTTTATACAAATTTTTATGTAATTTGAATAATGTAAAAAAACTAAAATTTTTGTACTTTATTTGAAAAGGTTAAAATATCTATTAATTAATAAGCAATTACATTACTATTTTCTTATCTAGTTGTAGATGAAAAACTACACAAATTCTTTGTTCACAAACTATACAAACTTTTTATTTGTGCACCTCACCAAGTTAATAAAATATCTTAAATAATTAAAAAATAAAAATTTAAATACACAAAAATGGACCAATACTCAGAAACGGAGGGAGTGGTAAGCTTGTGAAGATTTTGTGACTCTAACGTTACTTTTTAATGAACACTATTCTAATGATGATCCTTAATAATTTAAATATGTAAAAGAATGAAAGTACGTACCATACACAATGAAGAAAGCGAAGTAACAAGCTTTGTTAAATGCCACCATATTACCAATTTATGGATTTATGTTCTTATATAAACAAGCCGCTTGTGAGGAGAAATTGGAGTAACAGCTGTTGATAATTAGTGTATGTATTCCAATTTCCAATGAGTTGAATGCCCCTATTTATACATAAAAGAAAATAAATACAATTCACAAATTTGGGAACAATCTTAATTGCAATACATATGAAATAAAAATTAACTGTCATACTTTACTTGGATCCAAGCTTTTAAGGGAATATTTAAATCCCATCCTCTTACCAATTAAAATTGTTAATTACACTCTGCGTCTCAAAATCTCTCTTCCATTTACACTTGTATAAAATTTAAAGAAAGAGATATTTTTGTTTTAATTTTCTGAAATTACCCTTGATGTCAATTGTAAAAGTAGAATATGATGAGTGTAGGTTGAAAACGAATAGATATGATTTGATAGGTAGATTAAGAATTAATAAGGGAATTATGTAACTTTTTAATAGAACGAATGTTGAAAGGAAAAATATTTTATCAATTAAGGTACGTACTGTTAGAATAAAAGACCAACGCTAGAGGGGGGGTGAATAGCGTTTGTCCTTAGAAATCGCAGGATTTAAAAAATCACAAACGAAGTAAAAAGAAGAGTAAGAGGCACACCGAATTTTAACCTGGTTCACCACAACTTGTGGCTAATCCAGCCTCCCGAGAGACTCTCTCGAGCTACACTACTATCTCGTTAAGCTTGCGGGTGCTTAACAAACCGTTACAACTTGAGAATTCGAGTCACACGAACCTCAACGAATCGTTCAAAGGAAACAGCCCTTCCTTTGAATCTACCGAGAGAAATACTTTCTCTGAAAGTGTCTAAGAACACGAATACACTCAAGAACGAGACTCTCTTACAGAGTAGATTATGAGTAAACTAAGTACGCTCAAGAACAACTCAACCTTCACACAAAAATGGCTCTAGAAAGCTATGGAAAATGATAATATTTGAATGCAATGAAAGTATGAATGTTGTGAAGTGAATTTGTGTGTAAAGCAGACCCAAACACCCCTTTTTATAGTGCCAAAATAGGCTCCAACGGACCAATGCATTAAAGGGGTGATTGGCTTGATTTATGGGATTGAAAAGGTTTGGGATCTGCAGAATATTGGCTTCCCATCGATGTTTGGAACTTACCCATCGCTGGTAAGCCAATTTTCCTTTAGTTTTGAAGCCAACGGTTACCTACCCATCGATGGGTAGATGCTTCCCATCGCTAGGTGGGAGGTTGACTTCCAAACAAGGAAAGAATCAACCTTAAATGACTACCAACGGTCATGCCTTCCCATCGATGGTTTAACCCTACCATCGCTGGGTTCCCATCGATGGGATAGGTTTCCCATCGCTGGGCAAGATTGTTCTGCCTTGTGTTAATTTTGCACCAAGGCTTTAACAGCGATGGGTAGAACTTCCCGTCGCTGTTTGGCATGGTTCTGGAAGTTGGTTTGGCTTAGGGACCGCTTACCCATCGATGGGAAGATCTTCCCATCGCTGGGTTGGTGGTTAGTCAAGAACCCATGGTTTTTTCCTTAACCACGGCCTAGCCAACCGATGCAAAAACCGACCGAAAAATTCAAAGTTCTCCAAAATGAAAACCAAGTGTTTAAAACACTTGTTTGATGCATTTGGCTAAGAAATCAAGTAAGACACTTTAAAAACCTCGCCATTTGAGTGAAAACCACGGCTAGCCAAGTTTATGCCGTTTTGAAAGATTTTTGTCAAACGACCAAAAGAGAAAGATGGTTTTCAAAGTGTTTTTGTTGGAGAACCGTTTAAACATGCCAAAGAGTGAAAGCGAATCATAAAATGCTGAAAACCACTTGGTTGGTTCGGATGCCAAAAACCAAAGCCGATGACCGAAAGCCGAACGCTGGTTTCTGAAAGCCGAACGCTGGATGGCTTGGTTTTTAGATCGGGCGAACACCAAGTGTTTTTAATGACTTAAACAAGTTTGAAAAACATTTTTATGAAGTAAGAAATGCAATGAAGGATTTTTAGCCTAAAGAGCCAAGGTGTAAAGATTGGGTCGGTCTTGATCACAATGAAGACCGACTCAACAACACTAAGACTAAGGTCTTCGTTCTTGGTCTTCTTTTAGCTCTTCTTCTTCTCCTCATTCTTCGCCTTGTATATTCAATGTTTGACTTGATCACGGCGGTTTGACATTATCAAAACCTGTCATAAAAACAAACACGGCTTTAGTACGAAAACGTGACACGCCCGTGTTTCAACACGTACATTCATACCCTTACATGGGGGTTGGTCGTAAAAAAACTGAAAAATGAAAATAGAACCAAAATTGATCAAACTTTACCATAAATTAAACAAAACCAAACACAAAAACTCAAACTGTTTTACTTTGGTATTGGGCTTTGAAAACCGAACCGTTTTAAACCAAAGTATACTTAAGTATTAAATGAATAAAAGTATAAAATTCCGGTGAACCGAGAACAACGTGTGGAGTGTTAGGTAAAATTAATCACTTGTATATAAAGGCGGGATTGTTGGATATATGAGCCCTAGAGGCCAATGTATGAATCGGTATCTGAATATTTATCAAGAATAAAATGCCCTAAAGATTGTTTATACATCTCGTGTATCTAAACATGGCTTTTGTCCATAGACTTAGCGCTCTGGTAGCATAGATTAGAACTACAACATTTTGAATATGAGGCTTTTACATTAATAGAGACTATGTCTAAAATGTCCTAAGTCGAATATTATTATAATACGGACGCCATAATACACTAAGACTAATACGTATGAGACAAGATAGTTGCGTCTCATAGGCTATGGATATTGTGATATCTCAAACTATACGTAGGTGCATATCTGGGATAGTGATACGGTGTACCAGGAGGACGGGTCAGGAGACATGCAGGTCGAGGATGCGCACGAGACGGAAATGGCAGAGACAAGTGACAAGGAGCCGGAGACGAGCGTAGCTCGGCGCCGGCGTGATCGGAAGGCTCCAGCGTGGCATGGGGATTATATTCTCCAGTGATTATTATCTTTTATTTATTATTATCATTTTAATTATTGTAATAGTGTTTATTTAGGTGAGCGAAAATATAAGCTCCTGCGAGGGTTTCTTTACGGTTCTTTACCTCGTCTTTTTTTGAACCGTCAGGATAGAAAACGTAGTTAACTAGGACTGTGATTCTGCTGGGGTTCTCCTTTAAAAAGAGATGTACCCCATGCAAGTTACGTATGAAATAAACTCCCAATTGCAAACTACTTCTCCTCTTGTGGCGCACGACTCTTGCCTGCGATTTGTTCTCTTCCCTCTTCTCAACTTCTGGAGCTTAGAGACGCTCGAAGTCTCCCCAAATCCGGTACTTGATCGTATCAAAGTGCTCTCGTTGAGAGATGACGAACGCTTCATCAACCACGGCCGATCTCGAGGCAAGGATCAGCGAGATGGGGCATGCGGTGCACCAGATGCAAAGAGATTTTGATTTTCGCCTAACTAGAATTGACGCAACCTTGACGACCATGCAAACGAAATCTCACCGCTCTGCAAATAGGCGGTGGGGGTCGTGTAGGCCGCCATGGGGATAATCACGACGGACAGAGGAATGGAGGTGCTCCGATGCCCAAACCGAAACTGGAACCGCCAAAGAGTGACGGGTCAGAGCCGTTGCGTTGGTTGTATCAGGTTAAGGAGTATTTTTCTTATTATGAGACTCCACCTCAGGAATGCTTGCGATGTGTTACCATGATGCTTGAAGGGCCGGCGGCTGACTGGTTCCGATGGCGATATAACAACGGGTTGATTGACGGTTGGGAAGATTTCGTAGAAAAATTCAAGCTGTGTTTTGATCCTCTGCACTATGTCGATTACCTGGGACAGTTGGCATGGGTGCGGCAAGTAGGGGGTGTCATGGAGTACCAAGCGGTTTTTGAAAAAGTTCTTACCCACGTGACCGACGTACCCGAGCAACACCTGCAGTCCTTGTTTCACGCAGGGTTAAAGAACCACCTTCAACACGAAATTAGTCTCCTCAAACCTGCCACACTCTCGGATTCATTCGCACTAGCACGCGAACTGGAGGCGAAGCATAACGCCATAGTCAATCGGTGGGAAGCTGGAGCGGGTCTTGGAGCCCCAACCCTAGTCGTGGGTGGACGTCGGGAAGCCGGGGTTCTCAACAGGGGGGTCTAACTCGACTCCTGCAAAACCTTCCATCTTGGGCAGCCCACCAGCGATCAGCACAAACACTCGGGAATCCACTGCTTCAACCCCCGTCCGGCTGTTAACCCGCACAGAGAAGATGGAAAAGGACGCTAAGGGTTTGTGTTACAATTGCGACAAAAAATGGAGTCGAGATCAGAAGTGTGGTCAGTTCATTTTGATGATGGGGGACGAAGAAGAGGACGACGAGGGACACGATACGGAGGAAGAAATAGATGTCACTGCCGACATCTCTAGCCTACACAGCATGGCCGGAGTCACCACGCCACGGTCATTACGCCTAACCGGACGGATCTCTGGGCAGGAGGTTGGGGTCTTGATTGACGGAGGGGGCACGCACAACTTCGTGCACCCTCACATTGTAGAGAAATTGGGGCTACCCATTGAGGTGGTGTCATCGTTCCGAGTTTATGTCGGAAATGGGGACTCCCTACAGTGTGGCCAAAATCAGTGGGGATTATGCTACAAGGTGTGGAGTTTACCGTAGACCTCTATGTGCTGCAGATTCATGGCCACGATGTGGTTTTAGGTGTACAATGGCTCCGACAGTTAGGGAGGGTATCACATGACTATGAAAAGGTAACGATGGAATTTACTTGGTTGGGGCAAGGAGTGACGCTACGGGGAGAAGTGCCGATAGCAAAACTAATGACGTTCCATCACTTTCGAACAATGCACGAGAAACAGGATGTCGAGTTTTACGTGGAGCTCATGGCAATCCAAGAATCACCCCCCGAGATCCCTGGAACGTCACTGCCGAAGGAAATCGCCCAGCTACTAGACGAATTTGGGGCTGTCTTCGAGGAACCCAGAGGGATGCCGCCCCGTCGAGATGCTGATCATAGAATATTTTTACAACCGGGAAGTAAACCAGTAAACGTCCGACCCTACAGGTACCCGCACTTTCAAAAGGCCGAAATAGAAAAGCAGGTGAAGCAACTGTTGGAACAAGAGCTCATTCGGCCGAGTCGAAGCCCGTTTTCTTCTGCAAAATTGTTGGTCAGAAAGAAGGATGGAACCTATCGACTTTGTGTCGATTACCGCGCCTTGAACGCCGCCACGGTGCCGGACCATTTTCCCATACCGACCGCGGACGAGTTATTTGATGAGCTCGGGAAGGCACATTTCTTTTCCAAACTAGACTTGCGATTCGGGTACCACCAAATCCGGATGTTGGACAGGGACGTCCATAAAACAGCCTTCCGAACCCACGAAGGCAATTACAAGTTCTTGGTTATGCTGTTCGGACTAACGAACGCCCCATCCACATTCCAAGCCTGTATGAACCGGCTATTCGCCTCCCATCTCCGAAAGTTCATCATTGTCTTCTTCGATGACATCCTTGTTTATAGCAAAACTATGGAGGAGCACCAGCAACACCTACGACGAGTGTTCACCTTGTTAAAAGCCAACCAATTTTTCGTCAAAAAAACCAAATGCACCTTCTGCACAACAAAGGTCGAGTACTTGGGCCATATTGTGGCCAGGGGAGTTCTCCAGGCCGACCCCACCAAGATCATGGCCATGGAGCAATGGCCGATGCCCAAGACGTTGGAACAATTACGGGGATTTCTTGGTCTAACTGGATACTACAGGAGGTTCGTGCAACACTATGCACAGTTGGCAGCACCGCTTACTGACCTCTTGCGAAAGTGTTAGAAAATTCATTGAATCTATATTCTAGACGTATTAGGATTATGACTAGGAATAGGATTAGGATTATCTTTCCTAGTCTCTAATTTATATATGTAGTAGGATTAGGATTACCCATATCCCCTTTCCTATATATATAGCTTGTATTTGTACTCCTCAATACATGGTAGAGAAAACCTGTAATCTCGTGAGAAAAATCTGATCAATAAATCTTTTTCTCTTCTGTCCGTGGAGGTTACTAACAGGTTGTTAGTAAACCACATTAAATCTCTGTTGTTTTCGTGATTGTTGATTGTTCGTGTTCATGCTTTCCCGCATCTATCATAACAAACTGGTATTAGAGCCTAGTTGTTCAATACGAGAACACAAATTGCGAGAAAATTTGTCAGCTAGGGTTCTTGAGAAAGAACTGTGTTTGTTCAACCCTGTTAGAAGACCATCGTCGAAGGATTGCGCGTAGCCCGAGATTAGATCACGCAAGAATAAGTCGTTGCCTTTCCGATCTTGGATCTCAATTGCAGCAAAGAGAGGCATAGCCGCGCTGGTTGCTCACCGCTTTCCGTGGCTGATCAGATTGCCGCTGCTGGAAAATTGAATGCGGCAAGAGCGAGAGGAGCCACCGCCGTCCTCAGATCGACGCCGCTTGTTCAAAGAGAATTCAGTCGCCGTCGCCGTAGATTTCCGCTGTCCAGTTGGTGCGCCGCTGCCACCGGTCCATCTAGAAGCTGCCATCAGCCGCGCAGCCCAGGTCCTACCGATGCATCGCCGTTGTCGCCATTCAGATCGTTGTAACGCCACTGCCGTCCAGATCACAAGTTTGCCGCTGGTCCGTCTAGAACTTCTGTCAGAAGAGCCGCTGATCGCTCCCCGTGCTGCCACCGTCTGGTATTGCCGAGCAAAGCTTGAGGAGTTGCCAATTGAAACTCCATCGTCGAGAAAAAAAGGGTTGTACGGCTGATTGAAAGAAAAAAAAGGCGAGGGTTTGGGCTCTTCTTGAATTTATTTGGGCTGTGATTTGGATCTTGTGGACTGATTTGTTTTCAATTGAGTTGCCATTTGGAGTTTGACTTGGATTTTTCTGTGATTTGACCGAAATTATTATATTTTAGGCGAGGAAGTTGTCGTCTGCTCTGAACGTGAAGATTGACAAATTCAATGGGAGAAGTAGTTTTGGCTCATGGCAGATCAAGATGCGATCGTTGCTGAAGCAGCAGGGATTATGGGCGCCGCTCACTTAAAAGGCAAATAAGGCAGACAAGAAGGATGAAGAGTGGAAAACCCTAGAAGAAAAGGCCCACTCGACACTCATGTTGTGATGCATGTCAAAAGGGGAAGTAAGTAAAGGCCTCGTTTAAGTCAAAGAACGTTGTTTCTACGACTAGGCCATTACAACTTTTGCACATGGACCTTTTTGGACCTTCAAGAACTATGAGTTTAGGAGGTAATTACTTTGGCTTTGTTATCGTTGATGACTATTCGAGGTTTACATGGACACTCTTTCTAGCTCATAAGTATGATGCACTTAATGCTTTTAAGAAATTCATTAAATTGGTTCAAAATGAAAAAGACTCTCACATTGCATCCATTAGAAGTGATCATGGGGGAGAATTTGATCAAGACGGCTTTGATGTCGTTTGTGACGAATTAGGCATTGAGCATAATTTTTCAGCCCCCGTACACCACAACAAAATGGCGTGGTTGAACGGAAAAATAGGTCTCTTGAAGAGATGGCTAGAACTATGCTCAATGAGGCAAACCTTCCTAAATATTTTTGGGCGGATGCCGTGAGTACCGCGTGCTACGTGTTAAACCGAGCCGTCATTAGACCGATACTCAAGAAAACGCCCTATGAACTTTACAAAGGAAGAAAGCCTAACCTTTC